CTATCTAAACTCGACCAACATGGCATGCTTAGCCCCATTTCCCAAGGAGTAAGTGGAGGTTCAAAGTGGTGAGCTGACTTGCCCGACGCGACACCATCGGTCCAGGCGGAGCCTGGCCCCAGGCTGTGTCCTACACTCTGTTGCTGGTAGACGCCAAGCTTCCGAGGACTCCTTAAGACTGGGCCAATATAAAGAGTCAGGGGGGACAGAAATTTCCTTCTAGTTTTTTTTTTTTTAATATTTATTTTTAATTTTGGCTGCGTCGAGTCTTAGTTGCAGCGCGCGGGCTTCTCTAGTTGTGTCGCATGGGCTCTGTACTTTGTGGCGCCCGGGCTTAGTTGCCCTGCGGCATGCGGGATCTTAGTTCCCCGACCAGGGATGGAACCCGCGTCCCCTGCATTGGAGGGGGGATTCTTTACCACCGGACCACCAGCGAAGTCCCTCCTAGTTTCTGAAATCAGTTTACAAGGAATACAGGTATGCCCTACAGGGAGAGAAACGCCTACTGAGACACTCTTGATGACAAATCGAAGCTGCAGAGAACAGATCTGTCATCTGATGGCTAACATGTCCTCCATCTCCTGTCACCCCCTGTCCAGTTGAGCGGGGCGGCTTCCCACACTCACTGCTGGTCTTTGAACCACTGCCCCAGTCCCCCGGGCAGGCCCGCGGCCCTTTCTCCAGACAGCAATTTCTCCCACATGCTAGGAGGTGAGGCCGAGGCACCCAGGACGCACCGCATGGTGGGAGGGGCAGGGAAGGGGCTGAGAGCTTGGAGCTCCTGCCCGCCCGGACACCGCACAGAGGATCACAGACACCGACCATCTCCTACTCACATCAGCCTTAGCGGGGGGGGGGGGGCACCCCATTTTACAGACATGAAACCCAGCCCCCGGGGAGTTCAGTCACCCGTCACAGTTACACCAGCCAAGACAGGGACGGGCCTGGGTGGCCCTTCGGAGAGTGGACGGAAATATGGGAAGTCGTCAATCTTGTGCTTTCTGTTAAGTTTTCTCGTAATCTCGCGAAGCAAATCTTTGGTTTGCTTCAGGTATCATAAAAAAATGTATTTACAGTCATTTAAAATTATTCTGGTGTTATTAACACAGACAGTCATCCTCTTTAAGGACTCCTTTGTTGCTTGCTATAAGCTGTGCATTTGGGGTACAATTTAGGTATGTCTTGTGGCAGCAGGACCCCTACGGATATCACAGCAGAGGCAAACGAGGCCTCACCAGGACCACTAACTCCAGCGGACCCTCGGTGCTCCTGGGAAACCCACCGCTTAATCTAATCTAGTCCGTCCACTGTCTGGGATGAGACCCTCGGCCACCTGTGCCTGTCCAGCCTCCGCCGGCAGAGGGGCACCTCGTGCTTGCCGCACACACGGCCAAGAACGAGAGCGCCTCGCGGGACTCTGGACGCACAAGCCCGGCTTCTTGCCCACCTGCGCCCCGCCGGGCCCTGGTTACAGCACGGAGCCCTCGCCGCCACCAGAGGCCGACCCTTCTCTGGATCCTTCAACAAACCTGACGTGACATCATTCTTTTGTTCTCTCACATAGAACAGTCAGACCCTCTCAACTGGACCTTCCCCTCAGCCTGCAAACAGGCAGATGTGTCTCCTGCCTGCGAACAACATAAAACAAAACCCTGCCCTGCCTGCACCCTCCCGCGCGTCACCTTCAAGCCAGAGCTCTGGACCGAGTGGCCTACCGTTGGCTCTGCTGCTCTCCTTGCACAACCTCCTACATCACCGTCATCTGGCTTCTGTTTCCATCACTCCCTAAAATGGCCGCCAAAGATCTCCGGGGCCAAGTCCAAGGGCACTTCCCGCCTCGGCGACCCACCCCGCCCCTGCCCCAGCTTCCTCCTTCTCATCCTCCCCTGGCCGATCCTTAGGTCACAGCTGGAAAGTCACAGTCGGGGCAGCCCCCCTCCGGCTCCCCAGTCATCACCCATCACTTCTTCTTGAAGCCGCGCATCCTCCCAGGTGGGACTGATCCACCAGGTGCATCCAGGTGTGCGGCGCCTGAGTGACTCGACAGCTAGCCGCCTGCACCCTACGCTCCATGAAGGGAAGGACTGGGTCTACGTGTGTCCCGTGGTGTGCACGCTCCCAGCAGGAACCCAAGTATTTGTTCAGCAGGTAAGTGGGAAAGGCTGCACCTCCCAGGACGGTGGTGTTTACCTGCACCGATCGGATTCTCTCCTTCAGGAGCCTGACCAGGGAAGTACACACCCCAGCAGCCCGCTGAGAGTGCTGGGGGGGACGGGGGACTGAGGCAGAACCTGAAAAAGTAGCTGCGGGGAGTGTCCTGCTGCAGAGGCCACAGCCCCCAGACTCCAGGGCTGCCGCTGGGCCTGGGGAGGCCAGCCTCCCGCTGCCACGTGTGTCACTGAAACAAGCCCCATCGCTCCAGGTAGCTTGAGAGGCGCCACCACCTTCGAGCTTAGCGTCTAAACAACACAGCAACTCCTCGGGGAAGATCACTGAAGGAGCAGTTTTTCGTGGTTGAGTGGAAAAGCCCGAAGTAGAAGTAATGAAAACATAAGGCGCCTTACATAATGTCCCCCAAAGACCTCAAGATCTCTTTTGAAGAGATTAGCTGCGTTCTGGAATTATTCCCAAGAACTGTGCCAAAGGCAGCAAACTTTCCTTCCAAGTGATAAGCATTAAGGCTCACGAAAGACCACCAGACAGTGGTTTCATAATTCCAAAAGCTATCAGCTGTGTGTACTGCATTTCTGACTCTGAAAAATAATTTGTATTTCTTTGCTTTCTAAAAAGTCTCATATAGAGAGAAACGTATCTATACACATAAATTAAACTAGCCAATTTTCTTTTCAAATTATAACTTACGGCTCTACAAGACATGAAAGGTTAAATGTGAAATCTACATTGACAGGCTAAGTTATGATGTCCAAGCTACGCCAGACCCCCAAGGCAAAGGATTCCAGTGCCTCAGACTTACGACTAGATTACATTAAATTTAAACTCAATAAATTAAAGGGGAAAAAAAACCCTCTAGGACTTTCCAACTCTAAATTGGGCAATACTGATTTCTTCCCTAAATCTTTTTATGGTCGTTTAGCAGGAAGGGCATAATCTTGGCCTTCTGGCCAAAATGATGGCTGAGCTGAGCCACGGGCCAGACTAGGTTGCGGCCACATTTTAACTGGCAAGGGGACGTGTCCTTTTATGGGCTGTGTAGCAAAAAGAGACTCTTTCAGTATCTCCCCTATGTTAGATGTTTAGAGTTTTTGTTAAATGACGAACCTCAAAGCAAATAATACAGGAAAAAGTCAACATGGAGTGGATTACACCAGCCAACAGAGGACAGACTGGACAGCTGGGTTTTTCTAGTGAGACAGTAGGGCGTGGGGGGGAAGAACGCAGTATTTGGAGTTAGACCTGGGATTGAATATTGTCCCTGCCCATCACCAGCCAACAATGGGAAGTTATTAACCCTCTGGACCCAGTGTCCTCAATGACGAATGCGAGCTGATGAAGACATTGAGAAAATCAAGTAAAACAAATTGTGACCAATACACAACAGGCATTCAGTACTGCATCTGTTAATTGCAATGAGTTATTTGGCGAGCGTTGACCTATTACAAAGATGGGGGGTCAGGGTACGTTTCTATAAAAGTTGGAAAGGGTCAAGTTCTTTGCCTTTCCGTCACTTCAGATGTAGAAAGTAATGCGCTTTGGCAAAGGACCTAATAGTAGGGACTGCAAAAATGCCATGACGTTCTTGGAAACAAAAGTACCATGTGACCTTATCAAATAATGCAATGACTTTCAATGGATTAAAGGGGGCTTCTGTCACAAAAAGAAGCAAGAGGTCAGATCCCATGCATGGAAAATTATACCAGACGAATCCCTAAATAAACATCTGTATTACTCATGCTCCCTGAAGTCAAGAGCAACCCATGCAGGGATGGCGCCCTCCTCCAGCCTTCCTCCTGGACCTCGCTGCTCCCACAGCTCAGGAAGGCCCTGCTCAGCGGAGACAAGCCTGCCCTGAGCACACCTGGGGGCCGGGGTTGGGGGGCGCCCGCCCTCTGACTTCTCTCCCGGCCCCTCACCTGTGGGTTTTCATTGGCCAGATTTGTATTTAGGATTAAGAAGAGTGAGGAATCACTCTTTCCTATTCAAAATCAATGCAGGTTGATAACCTGAAACAAACGCCTTTTCCATCTAAGGAAAAAATATGGTCAAAAAGTTCAAGTAATGTTAATACAAAGAAGAAAAGGCACAATTTTCTCTTTACCAGCATGTAATGGGTTTTCTCTTTTTACTTATTTGTTAAATGAGAAAAGTGAAGGAGGGAATGAAATGAACTAGGATGCACGCTCATTCAGCAGGTGATCGCCATTCCCCGAGGGGGATGTCTCCAGAAATGCCTGGGAGCCACCCCACGACAGCGTCTGAGGCCTAGGAAGAGCCCGGCACAAAGCCACGACGCAGTAGGATGTGGACCCCCTAGTTAACTGGAGTTGCCTGAGTTATGATCTAGAATGAAAGATAAGAGTCTGGGGCTTCCCTGGTGGCGCAGTGGTTGAGAGTCCGCCTGCCGATGCGGGGGACGCGGGTTCGTGCCCCGGTCCGGGAGGATCCCACATGCCGTGGAGCGGCTGGGCCCGTGAGCCATGGACGCTGAGCCTGCGCGTCCGGAGCCTGTGCTCCGCGACGGGAGAGGCCACAGCAGTGAGAGGCCCGCGTACCGCAAAAAAAAAAACAACAAAAAAAAGATAAGAGTCTGAATGGGACATGGCAGCAGCAACGCCTCTCTGCTTCACCCGAGATTCTAATCAATGGATGCAGTTTGCTGACTGAGACGCACAACAAAAGGGCTTTCTGTCCTGCTGGACTCCTGATAAAAGGCCACGCACTCTAAGCCCCGCAGTAGAGAGAGATTTTGTTCCACTTGTCCACTGAAGAAAGGTTTTTAAAAAGGCCCAGAGCCCCTCTGCTCTTTGTATGGCGTTACTCACAGTGTGGCTCGTAGGGGGGCGGCGGGTCTCCGCAAGGCACACACTCCATGTCTTGAAAACCAACAAGTTTGGTCTTCCTGTAAAATCTAGAAGAGAAAGGGAAATAATCCTTGTTAGCATTTTCATCTGAGCTCACAGTTGCAGCAAACAGACTTATGTGATAAATTACTGGCAGTCTCCATTACCAGTTCTAGCGTTTAAAAAGAGGTTCTCAAAGGCTTAACTATAACAGCAGACAGACACATCCTTAGAAAGGTCTCTGAGCATGCAGTGAACGCTTAAGAAGTAACAATTCACTAAATGTAACTTTGTAGGTTCTACTCAGCCCCACTTTTCGTACACTGAGGTGGGGTGCCCGTGAGGGCGTATGAAATCTGGACATTTCTATTGTCATTTAAATGACAAAATGCCTTGTGAAGTGCTAGTTTTTAACCTTTGAAATTCGAAGGCCAAAAATGCTAAGCAAACCATAAAACCATTGGAAAAATGCAGGCAGATACTGATACAATCGTGATAAAAGGGGGCATGTTTCTAGGCATGACAAGAAACCCAGGAGCCAGGACGATAGAGATTAACAGCTTTGAGCACACACACACACACACACACACACACACACACACAGACGCACAAATACTAGAGGCATCTGAAGAGCAAAAACAAAGCGTCATCAACATAGTGGGCAAAAGAAAATTGGAAAATAGTTCTAGTCATGGTATTGTCTATAACTTAAGACTATACGATAAAACTTAAAAATCATTATGGTGAAGTGAACAAGGCAACTGAAAAACAGGCAAAAACACTAATTCCCAAAAGAAGAACACTTCATAATTTTAAAACTTCACAATTAAAACTAAAAAGATGATGCAATTAAATTAAAAAAAATTAACAGTAAAATGTTTAACCTCATTACTAACAAGTAAGTGCAAATTGCAGTGAAGATATACCATTTTCACTTAGAAAATTGGGAAAGTGTTGGCGTGAGCCTAGGTAAATAGGCACTTGTGTTTATTGTCAGTGGGCATAGAAATTGACACTTTAGGAGGGCAATTAGCTGTAGGCCATCAGAACTCAATAGAATAGTTTACATTCTACCCAGTAATTTCATTTTTTGAAATTTATCTTCAAAAAATAATCAAGTGGGCGAAGCTGGATGTAAAGAGTGTAACCACCGCATTGCTCATAAAAGAAAAAAAGCCAACGAGGCACAGTCCCCTACCCAAAGCAGACATGACCAGCCATGGTAGACACAAGGCTGTGGAATACAAAGGGGCCTTTAGAAACGATGATGCAGATCTACATATCTATTTTTTTAATTCATAAAATATCATTAAGTGGAAAAGAAGTGTGAATGATATAATGCCATTTTGCACAGACACACGCTTTCGTATAGATTCTTTCAGATCATTTATTTACCAATGCAGCTAAGAACAATTTTTGTGTGTATATTTGCATTGTAAACAGCTTGGAAGGATATTATCTGCCACATATTAACAACGGATTATTTCTAGATGGTGGGGATTCAAGTGATTTTACATGTATGTATATCTTCCAACTTTTTCATGACAAAAATAGTGACATGGAGAATAAATTACAGATCACGTTCATAAAGACAGGTAGATGCAATTATTTTGTGGAATTGATAATGTAGTAGCAAATCTGTGTGATCTGTGGTTGAAGCAAAATTTGCATTTGAAACTAGATAATTAGACCAAATGTCCAGACACACCCAGCACTTGCTCAACCTTCCATTTTCATCGGACTGTGAAAATCTGTTTAAATGATTGTAATATGGTGACTTTCCACCAGAATTTATAAAAAATATTTATTTTGGAATTTATAAAGTAAAAGTTAAAGAACAAAGTTGGAGGAGTCACACTTTCTGATATCAAAACATATTACGAATTCCCAATTATCAATACTGGCATAAATGCAGACATACAGACCAATGGAACAGAATAGGGAGCCCAGAAATGAACCCTCACACGTATGGTCAAATGCTTTTTGACAAGGGTGCCAAGACCACTTAATGGCTATAGGACAGTCTCTTCAACAAAAGGTGCTGCAAAAACTGGATATCCATGTGCAAAAGAATGAAGTTGGATCCTGATCTTTCACCATATACAAAAATTAATTCAAAATTAATTAAACATAAGACCCCAAACTATAAAACTCCTAGAAGAAAATATAGGAGAAGTTTCATGACATGGACTCTGGCAATGATTTCTCGGATATGATATCAAAAGGCAACCAGAAGGCATATAATAAATAGGCAACAAAAGCAAAAATAGACAAGAGGGAATATATTAAACTTAAAACTTTTGTGCATCAAAGGATACTATCAATGTATACTTATTCCCAAACTCACGGAGTTGTATACAATAAATATGTACAGTTTTGTCAATCATACCTCAACAAAGTGGTTAAAAAAAGGTCACAATCAAAAAAAAAAAAAAAGAAAGTTTTAAATTATAGTAATAATAGTTTCTCTGGTTGTTAAAAAAAAAGATACAATGAAAACAGTGAAAAGGCAACCTACCCCTGTGGGAAAAAATATTTGCAAATCATATATATGATAAGGGGTCAATATTCAGGATATATAAGGAACTCCTACAACTCAACAACAAAAATCAAATAACTGGATTTAAAAATGGGCAGAGGACTTGAATATTTCTCCAAAGAGGATATATAAATGGTAAGCAAGCACATGAAAAGACAGTTAACATCACTAATCATCAGGGAAATGCAAATCAAAACCGTAGTGAGTCATCACTTCACACTCATTAGGATGGCTGCTACTAAAAAAAAAGTGTTGGTGAGAATGTGGAGAAACTGGAACCCCTGTGCACTACTGGCAGGAATATTAAATGGAGCAACTGCTATGGCAAATGGTATGGAGTTTTCTTAGAAAATTAAAAATAAAACTACCATAAGATCCAGAAATTCCACTTCTGGGTATATACCCAAAAGCATTTTTTTTTAAAACTCTTTTTCTTATTCATTTATTTATTTTTTGGCGGTGTTGGGTCTTTGTTGCTGCACGCGGGCTTTCTCTAGTTGCAGCAAGCGGTGGCTACTCTTTGCTGCGGTGCACAAGCTTCTCATTGCAGTGGCTTCTCTTGTTGTGGAGCACGGGCTCTAGGTGCGCAGGCTTCAGTAGTTGTGGCACGCGGGCTTCAGTAGCTGTGGCTCGCGGGCTCTAGAGCGCAGGCTCAGTAGTTGTGGCACACGGGCTTAGTTGCTCCGCGGCATGCGGGATCTTCCTGGATCAGGGCTCGAACCTGTGTCCCCTGCATTGGCAGGCGGATTCTTAACCACTGCTCCACCAGGGAAGTCCTAGCCAAAAGAATTGAAACCAGGATCTTGCTGAAGAGACTGTCTTTTCTCCATTGTATGTTCTTGCCTCCTTTGTCGTAGATTAACTGACCATAGGTGCATGGGTTTATTTCTGGGCTCTCTGTTCTGTTCCATTGATCCATATGTCTGTTTTTGTGCCAATACCATGCTGTTTTGATTACTGTAGCTTTGTAGTACAGTCTGAAATCTGGGAGGGTTATGTCTCCAGCTTTGTTCGCTTTCCTCAGGATTGCTTTGGCAATTCTGGGTCTTTTGTGGCTCAATATATATTTTAGGATTTTTTGTTCTAGTCCTGTGAAAAATGTCATGGGTAATTTGATAGGGATCAAAATAAATCTGTAGATTGCTTTGGGTAGTATGGCCATTTTAACAAAATTAATTCTTCCAATCTAAGAGCATGGGATATCATTCCATTTCTTTAAATAATCTTCAATTTCCTTTATCAGTGTTTTCTAGTTCTCTGTGTATAAGTCTTTCACCTCCTTGGTCAGGTTTATTCCCAGGTTTTTTTTTTTTTTTGGACACGATTTTAAAAGGAATATTTTTAAACTTTCTCTTTCTGATATTTCATTGTTAGTCTAAAGAAATGTAATAGATTTCTGTATGTTAATTTCCTATCCTGCTACCTTGCAGAATTTATCAGTTCTAATAGTGTTGTGTGGAGTCTTTAGGGTTTTCTATATAGAGAATCAAGTCATCTGCGTATAATGACAACAATGTGAATATACTTAACACTACTGAACTGTACACTTAAAAAATGGTTAAGATGGTAAATTTTATGTTACATTTTTTTACCACAACTAAAAAATTCATTAAAAAATCTAAAAATAGGTAAAAACCATAGGACAATATAAGGGAGCTTTCCTAGATGTACTTCTTGCTAAACACTGTAATATATGCGGACTAATTCTGTTTATCTCAGACAGAAAACATGCCAAATTATAAGTTGATTAAATATTGAGATAGTCTAATATAGTTTTTAAACAGAAAAACTCTTTCTATGTAAATAAGCTAAACAAGTGCTGGGAATCAAATGTGGACATTATTGAACTTTTTTTTTTTTTTTTTTTGTGATATGCGGGCCTTTCACTGTTGTGGCCTCTCCCGTTGCGGAGCACAGGCTCCGGACGCGCAGGCTCAGCGGCCATGGCTCAGCGGCCCAGCCGCTCCGCGGCATGTGGGATCTTCCCGGACCAGGGCACGAACCCGTGTCCCCTGCATCGGCAGGCAGACTCTCAACCACTGCGCCACCAGGGAAGCCCCTGAACATTTTTAAAATAATGAATTCTACCTGTGACAAAACAGTTTGGAGGTCTGAGCTCTCCCTGAAATTGAACAAAATATATTTGCCAAAAATATAATTATTAAAATATGTGATCAGTTTGGGGGCTGTAACACAAATGAGGCTAGCAGGTGAGAAAATCCCATGTTTTCAATGACCATTAAGTCTAACTAGAAACCCTAACTAGATAGGAGGTTGGATGGGCCTGCCTTGTTGCCACTGCTCACAGGAGAGGCGATACTTGGGCATGATGCTCATAGCAGCTATCAGCAGCGGTACAGAGATTATCCAAAAGCATTCAGGACCTGCTCTGCCAGCTTCGTCATTACAATGGCTGGACGGCAGAATCTAAGATGTTTTTTAACTGCTACGAAATTTTCAAAGCCATCAACCGACTCTCACTTTTTCCACTTAGTACAAATGAGATTAAGGTCTGAATCCTAAAGCACAGAATAATTACTGAATCACCAATTATGTATTAACGATCAAAGACATTGTTTTTTTATTTTTAAAAAGTCTCCTTAAAATTATCATCCAATTTGAAGATACAGAAATTAGAGTTTTAAGATGTGACAAAAGATTAAGTGGGTAAAGAAATCTATAAATCTTTAAAAATTATTCTTCTCTCTATTTTGTTTAGATTGCCAAGGTTTGGGGGACATAGATAGATTTGCAACTCTGCTCCTGACCAAATGAGACAGGACACAAATTTTAAAAAATTAAATAAGACAAAAGAGAACAGAGACATATACACGGTGTCTGGTTAAACTGCATTTTATCGTTGAACTTTAAATTTTACTCCGTGCTTTCAGCTAATGCAAAGAGACAAAAGGAAACCACATTGAATTTTATCTAATTTACTGTCTGATGAGATGCAGCATATAAATACATCTATCCACCCAAAATATTCCCCAACACTGAATGTGAAGAGGCGTTTTTAATTGAGCTGAACCCAAATAATACTACTTAGTCTAATGAACACCAGCTTGATAACTGCTATTTTAAGAAAGCCTGGTTGCAGACACTAACTCTTCCACCAATGAACACTTTTCTGCAGGGGGATGACAGACCCCAGTCCAGCCCTGGTTTCAGAACGATCTCCCTTAATACAGGTTTGAATGCAGCTGCCACGTCCTGTGTGTGACATCAGGTCCCATTTCCTGCAGCGCGTCTGCCGGGGGCGGGTGACAATTCTGCCCTCTCCTACACACCCGTGGGCTCCGTGTTTGTGCTGGAGGGTCAGCCCCCTGTTCACAGTTCTCGGCAGCCAAAGCGATGGCCCCAGTGACACTGAGAAGATGCTACTGAAAAGATGACCGTCAGGGGAAGAGCCTGGTGTTGCCTGGGGCGCTCGGGATGGGCAAGGGTTGCCAAGTGCCACTGTAAGCAGAAGGACGGAGGACGGACCAGGAGGTTGGGGAGCCGGGCTGACAGGGATTGGCGGGGGGAGTGGGTACAGAACCAGCAGAGGCCATCCTCAGTGGCAGCGAAACAGGACTCGAGCAAGTCATTCATCCGCTCCAAGGATGGACTTCCTCCTTTGTAAGGAGCGGGTGATGTTAATCCCTAGTGTTAACCATCCCGGTTACTAAAAGCAGCAAAGAACTGGCAGGGGCTGGGTTACTCTTCCAGGGCGGGGCCCCAGGTCCCCTCAGCAGAGAAGGGAAGGGGGCGTGGGCCAGAACAGGGGCTGGAGGCCCTTTGGCCACTTTCAGCAAAGCTTTCACTGGCCCCCAATAACATTAATTGGTAACAATGTCAATGATTTATCTAGTGCTTACTGTGTACTAGGCGCTCTGCTAGGCACTCTACGTGAGATATGTTCTTAATCCTTCTGACAATTCTGTAGGCTGGTATTATTATTAGATGATATTTTTATAGGTGAGAAGAATCAATGTCAGAGAAATTAAGTAACTGGCCGAAAGCTGTTGACCATATTTGGGAACGAGGGCACTGAATTTCCCTAATTGGTCAAACTGTAGCACAGAGGACAGACTTTCCACACCGGTGTCCGGTGGGGGGCTGGGCCTTTGGGCAGCAGAAAATCCTGATCTGAGTGAGGCCTCGGCCGCAGAGGGCAGGCGTCACACCAGGAATAAACTTGCCCACCTTATGCCTGACCTTGGCATTTTTCTGGAGGCAATATGCAATTTATTTATTTTCTTTCTGCCTCCATTTTCCTGTCTGTCAAACGGGTGTCAACTATTTTCCTCTTTCACAAAAATACAGTCAAGCTGGGTGAGCACTTTGAAAACACCCTGGAAGACCTGGAAGAGTAGAAGTCACTCTGTAATTGCTGCCTGCCTCACACCTTCATGCTTGCTTAGAAAGGATGTAATTTTAAACTAATCATATAACTAAACTACGAAACACCATTCAAATGTCTACTCGTTTCTAACCTTCCCACATCTAAGCATCTATTTACAGAATGAGCAAACACCGTGACACTAAAGCACTGGGCTCAGGTGACAACACGTTTGGTGAAGCACGAGGAAGCACGTTTGGCGGGGACTCCCTCTCACGCTCCAGCAGCCCACGCCTGGGTTCCCCCTTGTAAAAACCGAGTCCTGGGTCTCTGGGCACTGCCCAGCTCAGCCTGGCATCCCCCGTGGACCCCTCCTCTCCCTGACGCCCCATCCTCTTCCCCGGCGGAGAAGGCAGAGGAGTCAAGACCCGGTTCCGTCAGAACAGGAGCAGAGAGGTATCGGGGGCCCAGTGTCTGTCCTTCCATCAGATTTGCACAAGCTCAAGACGCTGGGGAATAATATTCACAGCTCTCAGTGTCTTCTGAGATTACAGGCCACTGCTTTCTAAACACATAACAGATCACTGAGATACACTTCACATACCACGCAATCTACCCCTTTAAAGTATTCAAGTAAATGGTCTTTCGTACATCAGCTCAGTCACTTTTAGAACATTTTCATCAGGGAAGAAAAGAAACTCTGTACCCTTTGGCAATCACTCCCCCTTCTTCTCAACCCTTCCCAACCACCAGCCCTAGACAACCACTAATTTACTTTGTGTTCTTTAGATCTGCCCATTCTGGACGTTTCACACCAATGGACTCCTACAATATGTGTTCTTTTGTGATTGGCTTCTTTCTCTTAGCATAATGTTTTCTAGGTTTCTCCATGTTGTCATATGTAGCAGTAATTCATTCCTTTTTACCGCTGAATAATATTCCATTGCTAGATACACTCCATTTTGTTTATCCATTCATCAGCTGATGAACATTTGGGTCATTTCTACTTTCTGACCCTCATGTATAAGGCTGCTATGGACATCTGTGGACAAGTTTTCGTGTGGACATGTTTTCAGTTCCCTTGGTTACACGCTCAGGAGCAGAAGTGCTGGGTCGCATGGTAACTCTACGTGCAGCTTTCTGAGGAAACGCCGTACTGTTTTCCGAAGTGGCTGCACAATTTTACGTTCCCAGTTTCTCCACATCCTCACCAACACCTGTTACTGCCTGTCTTTTGGTTATAACCATCCTGGTGGGTGTGAAGTATGTGGGTCTTTTTTTTTCTTTTTTTGCGTTTGCTGATGACTAATTGACGTTGTGTATCTTTTCATGAGCTCACTGATCATTTGTGTCTCTTCCTTGGAGAAATGTCTATTCAAATCCTTTGCCCATATTTTAATTGGGTTATTTGTCTTTTTGTTATTGAGTTGTAAGAGTTCTTTATATATGCTAGATATGATAGTCCCTTATCACATATATGAGTTACGAATAGTTCCTTTAATTCTGGGGGTTGTTGTTTCAATTTCTTGATGGTATCCTGTGAAGCACAAAAGGCTTTAATTTTGATGAAGTCAAATATAGCTAGTTTTTCTTTGGTCACTTGTGCTGCTGGTGTAAGACCACTACTTTCTGCATCTGTTTGGGTTCTGAGTCTTCGCATAAGGACTTGCTTGACCCATGAGGCTATTCCCTGCCCTGTTTCTGGCCTTCAGGCCCAGAGCTTTATCTGCCCTCTGGCTTCACTAAAAGCCCCAGAGCAGGCACCCAGCATCTGTAAAATCCCTGCTCCCGTGGGCACGAGCCGGCGGAGTGCAGTCAGCGTCCTCCGTCTGCACTGACTTGGAGCGTGGATTCTGGTGGCAGAGTCCAAGCCACACTGCGCACTGCCTGCGCCATCTCGCCTGAATAACCTTAATGATAGGCTCACTTTCTTCGTTTTTAAAACACTGTGAACGTCACAGACAATGATTCACGTAAACTGCTTAGCCACTACGTAATACAGTTTGCTGCTCCCGTCATGCTGCCGGCCCTGGTTGCTTTACTTCTGCAATAAAGCCTGGGTTCCAGGAAAGCTCCGGGAATCCTCATCTCTCCTCTGGCTCCACTAGATACTAATTAGGTCCTCCTGATGCTCACTTTGTCCCCTCCCCTCCTTACTTCCTGCAGCAATGCCTCGTCCCTAACAGACCACCACACTGGCCCCACCAAGTCCCGGGCTTCATCAGGACTCCGGTTTCCAACTGCCTGTTTTATCTGGCATGTCCGGCCAACCGTTACCTAGAAGCACTTAAAATGTTAAAGTTCCTCCTCCTGGGCTTTGTCTCCCCACCTGGCCCAGGTGCGGTCCCCTTGCTGTCCACGGCCTGGGTTCCTTTTCAACGTGCCCATTTAAGGTCTCCACCGGTAGAGCTGAATCCCCCCGGCTCTCACTGCCTCTCCCTCTTCTCCGCTCTCTCTTCTCCTGTAGCTGCCTTGGCCTCTCAGCAGTTTCTGAGATACACCAGGCCATGTCCACCCCAGGGTCTGTGTCCAGAGAGAGCTCACCTTTCCAGCATCGCCCATCCTGATGACCCACCTTGATCCTGCAACCTGCATCCCCTGCGTCCCCCAGGGGCACGCCCAACGCCCTGAGCTGCTTGCGATTTTCTTTTTTTCCATAGCAATCATATCTTCCACCTTTTTGTATAACTTATCGTTTACTGTGTAGGTATTTGTCAAATCTTATTAGGATATAAGCTGCCTGTGGGTGGGGATCTCCGTCTCCCTCCCCAAAGTGATGCCTTACAAAATACAACTGGATGGCGGTATTTGCATTTCTCCGATCATGTTGAGGATGGACATCTTTGTATGGTCACAGGCCACACACGTGCCTCTTTTGTGAACTGTCTAGTTTTTTCTTTCGTCCCTTTGTCCATGTTTTCTGTTTTATCGATCTGCAGGAGCTCTGAGGATTTTCGGGACACGGAGCCTCGGTCACCACGCTTATCCATTGCATTCTAACCACGCCTGTCGCCGTGCAGGGCACACAGGAGGCCCAGAGAATAGAAGAGCCACGAACCTCGGCAAGTGTGTTCAGGTTAACATCAGCGGGCATCTGCACTCGGAAGGGAACCAGAGAAAAGCCTGTTCAGACTAACTGACTCATTACGCGGGAAGGACTGGCCACATACCCGGGCAGGCAGTCCCCACAGATGGCGTCACGGGTGGCAGAGCAGTTGGCCTTCTGGAGGCGGCTCAGCAGGGCGCAGTCCAGGCACGGCTTGCACTTCTGAAAGCCCCAGTCCTCCTTGAACCTGTGCGGCCAGCACCTCACACACTGGGCATCCTCCCCGTAGCCAAAGCCACATTCCTGCGGGGATGAACAGGCAAGAGACAGCTATTCAGACCCCGCGAGCGTGAAAAAGGAGGACGAGGAGATGGCAGAGAACTGGGCTGGTGACTACCCAGCGCCCGCCTCTCTGGACACAAAGGCCGCTCTTTCAGCGAGTTCCAATGTGTCTCCCCCTGCTAATAATCTCTCTTACGACCTAAGTATACTTACTCATCCACTTTATTCCAGGAGCACGAGCATTTGAATAAGAAAGGCTCTCCCCCTCCCCCGCCTCCCCCGCTGCTGCGGCATTATCGCCAGCTGAGGGCAGAATTAGGGCACTTCAACTCAGCTGGTCATCTGAGTGCTCAGAAGCTAGAGTCGGGGAAATACGTAGACACCTAGTCACTTACCAAGGCAGAAAGTAAGTGCTGTGATAAGTAATAGAACACAAGGACAGCTGCATACGAAACGTCAGAAGCTTACAATATCCTTAGAGAAACTTGGAATGGTTAGCTGTTTATTACTGTCTGAGAGAGGGAAGATGCTTACACAACGCTTATAAATCCTTGTTTGGATCAAACCCTGTGATACTAAAGGTCTCAAGCATCTCTAGATTTGGCCATCAGAACCCAGAACTGCTTTCCAAGGATGGGCTTCACAGACGGCTCTTTGACCTGCATACGAGTTCCAGCACTAAGTCAATCACAGCGTGTCATATGATGCCGTTATAAATGCAGTCACAAAAAGAACGCCATAGACCAGTGTTCATGATAGTTTAAAAAATAAGTTACAAAACAGAATGAGAAACAGGATCCCATTTCTTACAACAACATTAATAGTAAGTGCTAACATTTATCGGGGGCTTCCCCTATGCCAGGATCTCATTAATTCCTCCTCCCCCACAATGAGGAAAGCGCTTCCCATGCTCCGATTTCCTGGATGGGAGTATGGGGTTTCCCAGAAGGCATGCACCTTAACCAAAGAGACATTGCTAATGTCAGAACCAGGATCTGAACCTACACGGTTTTTAAATTAATTAATTAATTAATTTATTTATTATATAGCGCTTTACAATTTTCAAAAGTTTCACACACATGATTTCATATAATCCCATAATAATCCTTTTAAAAAAAATCCTCTATCCCTATATTGCCCCTCTCCCTCCCTCTCTCCACTGGTAACCACTAGTTTATTCTCTTTTATCTGTGAGTCTGCTTCTTTTTTGTTTTACTCACTAGTTTGTTGTATTTTTTAGATTCCACATATAAGTGATATCATACAGTATTTGTCTTTCTCTGTCTGACTTCACTTAGCACATTGCCCTCCAAGTCCTTCCATGTTGCCACAAATGGCAAAATTTCTTTCTTGTTTACGGCTGAGTAATATTCCATTGCATATACGTACCACATCTCCTTTATCCATTCATCTGTGGATGGGCACTTAGGTTGCTTCCATACCTTGGCTATTGTAAATAGTGCTGCTATGAACACTGAGTGCACGTATCTTTTCAAATTAGTGTTTTTGTTTTTTTCAGATGTATACCTAGGAGCGGAATTGCTGAGTCATATGGTACGAACCTACATGGCTTAATTCCAGAGCCAGACTTCATACCACTACACTCTGGGACTTTCAGGCACTTTATGTGACATATACACAGGAAGATGTCTGAAAGATTACATATCAAATGTTAACACGGTTATCTGCACTATGTGATGGTTTCTATAGAACACTGGCCATTAAAAAGAAAATCAGACAGCAGCTCTCGAGCTGCAAACAGAGCCCCACGTGGAGGGCATGCTGGGAGCCCACACACAGCCAGAGGGGCAGTGGGGGGGGGGGGGCGGGCAGGGCTCCCAATCACAGCCTCAGCTTCCTCATTGGGAACCACGGAAGCCAGAACACAGATCCAGCGAGGTCAGAATTCTCGCTTCTCCATAAAATTTATATATTTAACTTCTTCATCCATATTTTTATACAAAGTCAACTAAGCAGTATTTATTGGCTGAAAATTAAATCAAAACCAACACACACACACACACACAAAGATACAAATGAACTTATTTACAAAACAGAAATAGACTCACAGACAAATGTATGGTTACCAAAGGGGAAGGGTGGGTGGAGGGAGAGATAAATTAGGAGGGTAGGGTTAACATATACACACTACTATATATAAAATACGTAATCAATAAAGACCTACTGTATAGCACAGGGAACTCTAGTCAATATCTTGTAATAACCTGTAAGGGAAAAGAATCTGAAAGAGTATATATATATACATATATATGTATGTGTATATATATATAAACTGAATCACTTTGCTGTACACCTGAAGCTAACACGACATTGTAAATCAACTATACTTCAATTAAAAAACAAAAACCAACACAAAGAATAGTATTCCCTGTACGCAGTAAGCCACTCAGTAAAGGATATTAGCAACGATACTTCAATCCAGACCTCACTAATGAACTCACTCACATTCGGGAGGGGCTATCCCTTCCTTTCCCCCTTCAATTCCTCTGCCAGTCTTTCAAATGTGTGTCTTGAACAAGCACAGCAAAGAGCAGGGGAGAAAAACAAAGCAGAAGGTCAGCACCTTCCTAACCCTGAGGGCTCCAGCTAGACAATGTTCTGAACCAAAGGCACAGACAGAAGCAGGGGGGAAAAGTTTTAAATACTAATTCACAAATTAGAATTTCTTTAGAACTGTTAACAGGGATTATCTTTTTTTTGGGGGGGGTAGTGGAATTATGAGGTGTTTTCAGTTTTTATACTTCTGTAATGATTTGATTTTCGTGCACGAAGCACCTCTAGAAATCAGGAAGACAATACAGACACACTGAGAAAGAATTTCTTAGGATGTGCACTTGGTCTTGGCGGGAAGGAGGCCACTGCTATTCTGGGGGGCTGTGCACAGCAGTGGGGTCTGCACCAGGACAGCGTTAGCTGCTGAGAGAGCCCCAGGCATCCGAAGGCCTTCTTTAGGCACAGAAGGGAGCCCCCCACCCCGAGTCCCAGGATCAAAGCGTGTGCACATGACATCCGGGGCAGGACCTCCTCACTCACAGGCTGGCATATCCCTCAAAGTTCCTGCGGCAGCGATTTCAACATCACGCTTTGATCCAGGCAGCTGGGACTGTAAGGGTCTCATATACAGGTTAACACACAACACAGAAGGAAAGAAAAAGGGAGGGAGAGGAAGATAGGAAAACAAAGGGAAAGAGGTAGGCGTCTATGAACTGGTAGCAAACGTCAGAAATGTCGCTTTTCAAGCCAGGCTGATACAGGGGGAAAGTGTATATTTTCCTGCATTGGAGCCAAAGACACATCGGCCACTTGCCAGCTAAGTTATTTTGGGAACTCTCTGACCCTCAGACTCTTCATCTGTGAGATGGGATAACAATGCAGGCCCTACAGGGTTACTCTGAGGAATAAAAGGGAAAACATATGAAGCCTCTCAACTCTAAATCAGGCACAGGTGTCCGCAAACAAATGATACCCATGGCCATTACTGTTTTGGATTCTCTACAGCCCAACAGACCGATTTTCTTGATTCCAGTATAATAAAGCTTCACTGGGGAATAAAGGGATCTGCAGACCCCAATTTTTTCTAGGCTACTTCAAACATCACTTTCCATTATTTTTATTGAATAAAAATTTTTCTAAATCGAATCCCAAGTACCTCCTTTTTTTAAAAAAATTTTTTTTTTTTTTGCGCTACGCGGGCCTTTCACTGTCGTGGCCTCTCCCGTTGCAGAGCACAGGCTCCGGACGCGCAGGCTCAGCGGCCATGGCTCACGGGCCCAGCCGCTCCGCGGCCTGTGGGATCTTCGCGGACCGGGGCACGAACCCGCGTCCCCTGCATCGGCAGGCGGACTCTCAACCACTGTGCCACCAGGGAAGCCCCCAAGTACCTCCTTTTGAAAATGGGTACATAAGACAGAATTTAACCTTTCCTGGTTGGATCTACTACTGCGTTGCGCCGTCATACAAAGAACTAGGCAGTCCTGGGCCTGTGGGGCCGTTCTGCTGTTTTAACGCCTCTGCCACGTGGTCAGCGGCCCTCCCTCCCTCCTGCCTAGCCTCGCTGTCTATAGCCACTCATTTCCCCTCTCCAGTCCTGAGAAACTAGAGAAATGATCTGACTAGAAATGAACTTGAAAGAATATACACAGGTGTACTGACAGTTCCATCTCTTTTGAGAAAACATGTACTTCAGTGTTGGGAAATCTTTGTGCTTCTTTTTTGATTCCTGGCCGTGTCTAGAGTTTATATTGTACATAAGCACCGCTTTGACCAATAGTTTTTGCCATGTATTGTTGTGTGTGTTTTACATGTCATTAGAGTTTATAGAATGAGGATTTCATGAAACTTTTTTTTTTTTTTGGTTCATTCTGCACTGGACCAAATCACGTACAGAAAGAAAACAACGCCAGGCTCCAAGGGCATCACAGCTTTTGCCTTTATTAACTGGATACCGGCTTACTATTTCTGCCTGCAGCTTATATGCTCTGGTGGCAGCTGCAGCAATTCTCTTTGGGGTAGATTCAGGTGAGGGGTTGAGATAAGGCTTTGTATCATCACCATCACAAAAGAGTACCAGAATGTGCAGAGCAGGTACCATGAGCCATACTTGTACAGAGATCGATTATTTGGGGGAATTTTATTCAAAATATATTTTCTCTCAGAAACAGACTCACAGACACAGAGAACAGACGCTGTGGTTGCCAAGTGGGAAGGGGGCTGGGGGGTGGGGGAGGGATGGAGTGGGAGTTAGGGATTAGCAGATGCAAACTAGTATGTGTAGGATGGATAAACAACAAGGTCCTGCTGTATAGGGAACTACGTTCAATATCTTACGATAAACCATATGGAAAAGAATATGAAAAAGAACGTATGTATGTATAGCTGAGTCACTTTGCTGTGCAGCAGAAATTAACACAACATTGTAAATCAACTACACTTCAATAAAATTTTAAAAATATATACTTTCTCTAAAGTATTTGCCATTTAAAAAAAGATTATTAGAGACA